ATGACAGAATTTACAAGTGACATGTACATGTAGTATCATGCTACTATGAATATACCAGTCATGATAAGAGTGTAACTCCCAAGATACCAAGTGTCAACCTGACCAGGAATGAGCGATATGGCTACTTTTCGAGGAAAGACAAAATGCCATAACTCAGAACAAATGGTGCTATGTAGTTCGTTTTCACAAGGAACCGAGATGTTCTAGATATAATAATTCTATATGTCATAGGGTAGTAATCGCCAATAAATAAAATATGAATAAATACTGGTTGTTGTTTTCAATATTTAATCCTTAAACACAAGTAAACAAACTTATTGTTGACGGACGGACACACGACGAACATTCCCAATTCTGCCACTATGTGACATTCGAACTGAAAACGTATTTTTTCATCGCTTAACCTTCACCAATAACATTGACCTTGAAGTGAGACATCTAATTCTGGTCTTACATAGTTTCATAATTGTGAAAATCAGTTTTGAAATCTATTAATCTATAGGAAAAGTTATTGATAGGTGTTTGGGTCGACCTGGTAGCTTGTCTTATTGTTAAGCTCATGACATTAACATATACACACGCACGCATGCACTTGTACATTTACATACATTCATATATACATTAACATACATTACATGAAACATTAATATACAATTGTTATTATTAATTGACTTTAGATAAACGAAATTGACATATGTTCATACACATATCATAAAAAACTGAAGGTCCCATTACATCACTGCTGATTTCATAACTGACATAAAAACGTTATCACTATAAATGTATTTGGATTATCTTTGAAAAGTCGAAAGTCCAAATTTGCGTGATTTGACTATCGATATAAAATTTAGTTGCAAATAGACCTTCGTGTTGAATTACTTTTTCACCCAAATCATATATATACATGTATATTGTAAACGTATGTCAGGATGGGGAAAATAAATACAATTCTTATACAGTTTTCTAAGTTTATAACAAGTATTTCGGCAACAACAGTCTCTAGTGAGTTACTAATATTGGATTTAAATACATACAAACTTACAAGTTTGGATAACAATGTCGTTTGTAAGATGTTTACTGAATTTGAACTTTGGCGGTTTTACAACTTATTTATATTACTTGGAGGTCAAGACCGAAGTGACAACATTGGTTGGATTCCGACTTTTATAAGGTTCGATGTTTGAAATCCACCAATGAAACAACAGAAATCTGGAAATCCTCCAATGGACAGACGGCCGGATTTCTGAATCTGAAATCTTGGATTTCAATGGCGGCCATATTGAAATCTCATATAAAATCTACATACGAAAATCATTAATATACAAAAACATGTAGTGAATACTTATGGATTTCTGACCTTAATCAATTATAAACTTTACATAAATTATGTTCTTGAATTGAATTTGACTGAAATTGACATTAACAATAAGAAATCTTCAATATAAGGTATGAAGTGACAGATTTCAAAGATGTCTGTCATTGGACGTCTGCTACACAGAAAATGTAAAGAGAAAATCAGTTTTCTGCTATACAATAAGGTAAGTTTAACATTTCTATCAGCTTAAATTGCAAAGTCAATAAGTGTTAATACAGGGTTCCTTCAGATCAATCAGGTAAGTGAATCTTTATCTTGTAGAAGTCAACAATATATGACTAAGCTATAGGATTTCACCATGTCACTTGGATTTCATTATAAGTTCTGTTGTAAGTGCATTTCAGAATTATGCTTGAATGTCAGATCCTTACACACCCCCTCCCTAAGTCTTAAAGACTGATATTCCCTGAACTTTTTATACTGTCCGAAATAGGTACTAGACCACAAAATATTTATGATTTATTTCACAGTTAGTTAAAACTTCTGCTGTTCTGTAATTATTATTATTTTATGTAACTATATTATATGAAAAGTTTATTTAATCAGATAATGTAAATGTCCTCAGTCTTATTGTAGTTTTTATGTCAGGCTTAATTAATTTATTCAATTCATAGGTGTTGATTCTTCAGATGCGGAAATGTCAAGATTTTATTCAGATGCGAATTTTAACACCAGCAATTTGTTTCAATATATCTTCCAATTCTTTAGAGTGTGATGCTGCTTCAAGCTGATACATGTATGTGTCATACCAAGTTTTGACTATTTCTTTAAGCTTCAAAGATGTTTCAAATAGTAACCTAGATGGATGATACTCGCGTGGTAGTGGTTTGTTTGGAAGCAATTAATATGTATATTTATAACATACAGCATACATTCATACACAATTACTTTATATTGAATACTACATATCTCCTAGTCCATTTTAAAGCATTGAACAAATTTCTGATAGTCTTCTTATGCTGGGTACTGTTTTTCTAACCCAATGTCTACCAGTCATTAAGTTTCCCATAGGATACAGCAGCTTCACATTATAGAATATGATATATAATATGATAAACAAGATCGACAAGGAAAGGCGGCATTCAATGAACACGTTAAGACCAGACTCTCATGGCCATTAACACACGTGACATCATCCTAATGAAGTCACAAAGGTCATCTTATCGTAATCCCTGGGTGATCAGGCCAGTATTACCGTGTCCCGCTTTCCATTCCTCCAAAATTAATTTTATCATCCGTGAAAGGTGATGTTATCTATGGTCATTCTTAATACACTTTTAGCATAATAGGTATTCTTTCTTTTGTTGTGCCCATCTGAGATATGCATGTATTAGGTTCACAGGCTACCATGCTTACTTTTCCAATTTTAAAAATATATATAGGTCACCTATTGAAGTGCAAGTTCCAACGTCACTATTTTGTTTGATTACCACATGATGGTCCATATAGTTTGTTCCATTCACTTGAGTGCATTGCTAGTCCTTTTTACGCAACACTATCTACTATTTGAAGAGAATTTTCTTTGTAATAAGATTAAAAAATAAAACTGGCAACATAAAGTTTTTGTTTTGTACCTCTACCATAACCCACATTGATGTTTGTACTGGAATGTTTACTTTTTCGGATACAATAACTTGACAAGGAGAACAATTATCTGAAGGTGTGCCTGTCCATTGTTGGATATTACCATCTAAAACATTAAGTCTCTGAATTTCTTTATCAGTTGTTTTCACATTTTTTCATTAAAAGTCTTGGTCAATGATGCCTTGAGAATGTGAGTGTTGCTACTTGTAACCCAAAACACTTTCATATGTTTGTATAATGCTGACAGCATGATCTATAGTACTACAGTTTTTTTCGATGCACTTATACTGAAGCTCAGGACACAGGTTATTGTACAATTGATCTAAAGCCATTCGCTCCTGTGCATTGTAACTCAGATCAGTATATGCTTTGCGTGCAAGTTCGGAGAGAGCATCTGCAAAAGACGCAATAGATTCTGTTGAACCTCGTTTTCTTGCTTTCAGAGAAGATACCCACACTGGTTGATCATACTTGTTAGTAAATCTATTTCGCAAGGCCTCAACCAGGCTGCGATAGCTTGATTTAATGTCAGTAGGAAGTCTTGAAATAAAAACTTGGGCTCTTCCCGTCAGACAGGACCTTAAGGCTAAATTCATGCTATGTAAGTCCCAGCATCCTAATTCAGCATTTATTTCAAAATGATCTATGAATTCTTCAAAATTTTCATCTCCACTAAATGATTTAAGTTTAAAATTTGGTCCTCTTGGCAACGTTTTCCTGGAAAGTCCATTATGTCTGTCATAGTGTTTCGTCCACTTTGATGGTCTACCCCTTGAAGGGGGACTTCGGTCCTGACCTGCAAGCGGCTCTTCTTCATTTATGTCATACTCATCCAATGGAGAATCAGCTCTTTCAGTTTCAATATGAAGATGTGGCGCTTCATCACCTTGTCTTTCATCATTCAAAGCTCTGTTATTATTCTGACAAAATTCTATTTCAGAATCTGAAGAGTCTGCCATAATGTATGTTAATCCAATGTAAATACTGTTTAAATCTCTATTTACTGTTAATCATTGATATAGTCAAGGAATAAAATAATGTTCTTGTCAGTTCATGTGTATGTTTCTCACAAAATAAAATTTTCTTCACAAGTTGAAATGTTATTTTTTTTATGGATGGATGGATAGATGAGATGCACTTTTCTGGTCCGTTTTATAGGATGGTAAATAATTTAGACCATCCCATTACTTCTGACACCATTGTAAACGTATGTCAGGATGGGGAAAATAAATACAATTCTTATACAGTTTTCTAAGTTTATAACAAGTATTTCGGCAACAACAGTGTCTAGTGAGTTACTAATATTGGATTTAAATACATACAAACTTACAAGTTTGGATAACAATGTCGTTTGTAAGATGTTTACTGAACTTGAACTTTGGCGGTTTTACAACTTATTTATATTACTTGGAGGTCAAGACCGAAGTGACAACATTGGTTGGATTCCGACTTTTATAAGGTTCGATGTTTGAAATCCACCAATGAAACAACAGAAATCTGGAAATCCACCAATGGACAGACGGCCGGATTTCTGAATCTGAAATCTTGGATTTCAATGGCGGCCATATTGAAATCTCATATAAAATCTACATACGAAAATCATTAATATACAAAAACATGTAGTGAATACTTATGGATTTCTGACCTTAATCAATTATAAACTTTACATAAATTATGTTCTTGAATTGAATTTGACTGAAATTGACATTAACAATAAGAAATCTTCAATATAAAGTATGAAGTGACAGATTTCAAAGATGTCTGTCATTGGACGTCTGCTACACAGAAAATGTAAAGAGAAAATCAGTTTTCTGCTATACAATAAGGTAAGTTTAACATTTCTATCAGCTTAAATTGCAAAGTCAATAAGTGTTAATACAGGGTTCCTTCAGATCAATCAGGTAAGTGAATCTTTATCTTGTAGAAGTCAACAATATATGACTAAGCTATAGGATTTCACCATGTCACTTGGATTTCATTATAAGTTCTGTTGTAAGTGCATTTCAGAATTATGCTAGAATGTCAGATCCTTACAATATACTTGACGTATATACCAACAGAAATCATGATATGTACAATTATATACCATAACATATCAATTTACATCAAAGTTATATCTGTAACATTTGACCGAACGTTTGATATGAATAACCACTGACGACTTGTTTTTATAACCTACAGCGTTCGAAACAAAATTGTTCTATAATTGATATGTCATATCACACAATCTGAAAATGTTCTGTATTTGCCTTTTAAATCTGTATTGATATGACTAATGTGGTTTGAATTGCTAATAGCAGATCTTTCTGATGTCTGATATTCCCATTTTTAAATTGACAGCTTCACAACTTTCACACAGTTACACAATGATCGCAACTATGCACAATTGTTGGATAGTTGCATCATTAGCTACTGTCCTTGGCTGCCATACTACTGTACTATATAACCTCTTTACACCTGTACAATACTGATGATACAATTATCCTTTAGTTGTATTATTCACAAGAAATACATACATGTATTTTATCTGTAGGTCATTTCACTGAATGGTGAGTAAAGTGACATAAAGTCCATTTGAGAAAAAAAAATGCTTTAGTACATAAGCTGAATGATTTTTACAATATCTCTCCCATTTTGAGGCGAAACAACCAACCTTTGCCTGGATGAATCAAAGCACAATGATACCGGAGAAGGAATTCCATGTGATTTGCCAACAACATCAACGATTTTTTTGCCATCATATCCCAACTGTAACACGTTATGCGAGTAATATCCACAAACAAATATATTTCCTTCATCATCTGTACACACTGCTGCTGCACCCTGCAACTCTGGATCACAATAACGAGCAATATGCTGATACTGATCATTAAATATGATTACACCTTTACTCTCATCTACGGCTACAGCACATTGCATTGAATCACTAAAAGATATGTCTCGGATTTTGCTAAATAGAGCAATGCCTAAACTATCGGTTGATATCTTTTGCAATTCATTTCCAGTCATATCGTGTATATATAACGTCTGAGCTTTATCAGTGATATAAAGTTTATCATCCCCATAAGCAATTCCAAAACAGTTATGGTTTATGTTAACCTTCCTTGAATGTGACGGCTTCGCAGTAAATAAGATAAACAGAATGAAATTTGAATGCTTGTAGAAGGTAACTACTACCTCGTCTTTACTAGTACTGCACAAACAATACGGAATATGGCCAAAAGTATAAACATTTTCAACAGCCATAGTTTCAATGTTAACGCTCTTTAGCTTTTTGTTTCTAGAATCTGTTAAAAGAAGTGGTCCATCTTCAATCAAACATGAGCCAGATATATCGCAAGTCGCTTTGTCATCTTGTAATTTTACATTCACGTCTTTAATTGTGTCAACAGTATACCGTCTGGTTCCCCTTGTAAAGCTGAGTCTACCAAGCGTCTTAATGTCTTGCAAAAACACCTGTATTCTTGAATCAATCTCAAATGATATACATGTATTTGTCATGGCGTTACATTTTAAGGCAGTTTCCATTTGTTTTTCTTCTTTTAGTTTTTTGTTCGCAATTTTCATGCGCACGAATTGTTGCGATCTGTTGCCCCCTGTTAATGTTTCGAAATCTATTAATTTCATCCTAATATCATCTGTCATTTCAACTGCTTCTTGCCTCTTTTTTACAATTTGTTCCTTAGTGGCTAGATATTCTTTTCCCACTTCATCTTTAGCTTGTTTTGAAAGTTTCTCTATATGTGCAACCAGATTTTGTTTAGCAAAGTCGATCATCATGTCTGCTTCTTTTCTTGACGATTCCAAATCTTTCATAGCTTCTGTTGTCTTCAGTTCGATGTGTTTAAAACGACTTTCTCTGCTCTGTAAATACAAGGTCATATCTTCTTGAATTTTTGCATCGAATAATTCGCTGATCTCATCAGGAATTGAATGTACATGTGTGCACGACCTGTTTAAAGAAAATCATTTAAGTGTTATGTATTGTTTTATAGAAATATTTCTTTCTTTAGGTACCAACCATATCTTGATTGTTTTACTGCAAATAAATTTGTTCAGTCATTAACACGTCTGAGAGTGTCATCTCATAGACTACAAGTAGAAGCTGGTAGGTGGGCAAAACCAACCAGAATACCTTTAAACGATAGAAAATGTTCAATTTGCAATACTCTTGAAGACGAATACCATTTTGTTATTGAATGCTCATTATATACAGAATTAAGAAACACTTACATTCACAAGAAGTTTTGGAACAGACCAAATATGTATAAATTTATAGAACTATTAAATTCAGAAAATAAAAAAAGTGATAAGAAACCTAGGAATATTTGTTGAAAAAGCTTTTAAACTAAGAAATTCTATCATCTAATTATTTGTTAAAGTTATAATTATTTTTTGTTAATACCGTTAGTTGAAACAATCTCATGTAGTCATTAATATAAGTTAGTGTCTAAGTATACTGTTAAGTAAATTGTCTTTTTTCTATAAACTATGCATACTATATTAATTTAAGTGATATATATGCTTTCAAAAGATGAATATATTCTAGGGTTACTTTTGATACTTTATAAATTTTCTTTTGTCTCTATGGCGAAAGAGCTATGACACATGAATAATGTTAATAATACATTGTGTAGTATGCATATTTATTTCATTCTATGCGATGTGCTCATTTTGTTGGAATATCTCATCTTAAATAAACGTATATATGTAAAACGAACAAATTAATGACAATAAGTCATTTTGAACATGATTGTTAATTTAAAACATATTATCAGTCTTGCAATTTCTTTTCGGTAAGGCCGATATATTTATGTTATAACCATTACAAACGAATTAAATATGCATCAATTATATTCTATGTTTCTTGTCTTAGAATGTGGCAAGAATCGTGGATATATTCAGTACATGTATGTATATAACCTATTATTTGATGAATGTATATAATTTCACATAGGTTTAAAACTTTAAACATTTATCAAATATATATGTTTTGGATTACATTTATATCAAATGATAACTATACATATTTATGTAAGTTAAACACAACATTAATGTATTTATACTTGAAGAGTTTGTCGTTATGATCTTCTCCGATATTATCATCATGCTATGTTATGTATTTCATATGTATATGCACTGTTCGTTGTCTAGTATTATGCTGTTATCATGTCATCGTGGGCTTTTAAGCCTAATATGATTGAAATAAAACTTTCTATCTATCTATCTATCTTGTAATAACATCTGGACATTAAAAATCACGATGTTTACTCTATGCTTTCTATTCGTTCTCTCTTAAAGATTGATTTTAAGTTTCATTTCAAAACGTTTCCTACCGGCTGAATATAAATAAAAAAATAATTTGCTATTCTTACTCATTCAAACTTTATTTTCATGTCTATAAACACGAGTTTAGGTGAGCATATGTAATGCAATATGAATTATATCTTCTTATATAGCTCGTGATTCTTGTGTTTGTGTAAACTATGCTATGCTTCAAATCGACTGCTTTTAAATGATACAAAAATGATGTGTGTAGTCAACTGATAAAAGATTTAACATTTGAAATACATTACACGACTTGTAACTTCATGTAAATTGCTGAAAAACGCTCAGTTAAAAGTGCTAAAATACGGGAATACATGAAGTTTGAGCAAAACTATGAATATATGCTATAAATGTTTATAATGATATTTTTATTTTTTATGGCAGCATGAAAGAATATTATAAATGATATTGCAATTAACCGTTTATAAATGATAAACTTTAGTTATACAAAGGCAGCATGCCAATCAGTATACATTAATAATACAATCGGCAGGTACGGCATGACATAAGCATGCTATACATGAAATAGGTATATAACAAAGTCAATTATTATTCATTATAATATATCATATATATAATTTATATGATAAAGTGAGAGGACAAGATTATCGTTGATACAGTGCATTGCCTCTTTTATTAAAAGTTTTGCAAACAAATACCGCTAAATTTTTAACTAACCACACATTTAATTCTAGTACATTAGGTCTCTTCCAAAAATATTTTTTCATATGCATTTGTCTAATATCGTGGTACAGGGGACTATCAAATAAAAATGAAATTCATCCTCTAGAGAGTTACAAAGTTTACATGTTCGTTCGTCAAATTATATTTTATGCGGCTTATGATATCTACCTGCTTACACTTCTAGATAATGTCTTGTTAATGCTTTTTTAAATTTAGTAATTTTAACTGGTTATTTTATGGCTGATATTTAAAACAGGAAAATAGTCTATATGTCCTGGCTCTTGTCGAGTTTTCTAATTAAGCGTTCCAAAGATGTAAACAATTGGTTTAAACAATATTTTATTTCAGTCATATATATATATATATATATATATATATATATATATATATATATATATATATATATATATATATATATATACATATATATATATATACACACACACACAATATATTACAATAAAATGCAAAAAGGATTGAGCAGAAAGCTAGAAGCTTTTTTAGAAACTATCTGTAAACAATTACTATAATGTCTTTTCTTAAGTACATATATAAAAATGTTGTCTTTTTCAGTCTAGTAAAAGTTGAATATCATATGCCCTTAAAATCTTATTAGGATACATTTCCAAGTGTCTTAACATTATATTGTATACATGTCGTATATATATATATTTTTGAATTCGCATTCTAATATATTAATCCAGTATCTTACTATACATATTAGCATATTTGAAAGTAAACTTGTACGATCTTATTCTCCCTAGACAAAATTATTCTGGGTTTGGGCACATACTACTAAAAGTTGTTACAATATTGAAAATGTATTATTTCTATATAACATTTGTTTCTTTGAATCCCAATATTTCACATCCATAGTATAGTGGTGGGTTTTTGATGATTATTTATATATTTTATTCAGGTGGAAGAAACCAGGCTTTGTATAAGAAGAAATCTAATTTAATAACCAAAATAGAGAATACAAATATTTCTATAAAGAAATAAATGAACGAATGTCAACTGTTAATACAAAGAATGTGTTATAACTTTGAGAAACAAAAAAGGAGTGGTCAGGGTTACCAAGTCATGTTACATTCCAGAACCAAATCAGCTAAAAAAAACTTTCATACAAAATTAATCATCCATCACTCAACTTGCAAAACCAGTTCATTCACTCATAACAAAAGGACAAAGACAAACATGAACACAATACACCACAATAGATCTGGTCTGGCCTTTAAGATACATTACCATATTTATTATAAAAATAGAACTTGGATTATTTTAATCTTACCTACAAAAGTTTAATATAGGAACAACTAACTTACCAAACAGTTCTAAAGGAGTGCTTAACTTCAATATAGGTGAATTTAACTAGATAAGACTTGAGTTTCCCTTCAACGCCCGACCCGCTAATGCCTCGTTCGTTGCACTAAATATAATCACAGACCCGTGAGATGTGGAGCCCACAACGCCTTTTAAATCCAAATAAATGCATATTTGTCAATCCCCGCACATGTATTGATAATATATTAAATAAAACCTTAATATTAGCCGTTTTGAAAAAAATGCATATTTCAACGTCTAATATGCATGAAAAATGTATGCCCTTCTATGCATTATTTCAGGCACGAACGGGCACCCGAGTAGAACCACCGACGATCAAGTTATTTGTTTATAATTTTTGGTGAAATATGATTATATGTAGTCAACAAATATAAACATATTATGAATATGTGATATTCGGTAGCTAGGTATACACGGCGTTTTCATATCGCATTTTGACTTTAGTTATGTACTAGAGATAGAGAGTTCAAACTTTGCACAATATACATTGTAAAGTTTGCACTTTTTGACAATTTCAAATACCTGTGATTTAAAGCAATGCATGTTGTACAGCACACTTCATCGTGATCTTTACAGTACATGTCAACAAAGTTGTTAGTGTGAATAGCACATCTCTCTGTCGGAATCGTCGACAATGTGATTGACAAACCCTAAGCTTCAGCATCTAACGGATCAAGTAGCGTATGACCTTTTAAAGCAGGAAATCGCGAGTGTGTACCAACGCAAGTTCGACAACAGAAACCTTGACATTCAACACAATATTTCACAGCCGCTTTGTTTGTGCAAGTGAAACACTGAAAATCTGAAATTTCATCCGAAGCGTCATTAAATCCACCCGTCGCCATTTTGTGAAGCTACTTCCTACTGTGTACATGACACATTTGAATCATTTTATTATGTTAATGATAGAATAACAAAAATATTCCAAAAACTTTTGTATCAATAGAAGAAAGATATTTTCACGGTTCCACCTTTCTGTGGTTTCCATGTTGACAACGACCGTAACATTTAAACTTACGAGCCATAATATATATGACCTGTACATGTATTTCAATATACATGTTATCTACACTTTTAACGCAGATATCTGTACTTTTTATCAATAAAAATCTCATTCAGGTCAGCAGCTATTTATGAAGATAGAATTTCAACATTTAGTTCGGCAAGAGTAGGCTAAATACACCCTATACCAGTATATGTATATACACATAAATCTCGCTTTACTTTTTACTTCTGTAATAGCATTTATGTGGAGTAGACATACCCATTGCAAATATTTGACATCGTCGGATACCCACGGCCGAACCATTAACATTTATCATTTTGATTGCATGTTATGTGACATGTTTATCAATCGTGGGTATCCGACGATGATATTTGATAGATATATTGAATTATGTTCGACTGTTTGCAAAATGATGTAGAGCATTTTTAGTCGAAAAACGGTGTTAGTTTCACGTGATTGTAATACAAGGAATTGACTTTATATGGACAAGGGAAGTAACTCATATGGTAATAGATTAATAAAACCTCCCTTAGAATAGCAAACGACCAGTTATGTTAAATTATATTTATATATTAACAATATATTATTTATTATTGCGTGACAAAATATTTCCAAATAATAGACAATTTACATGTTTTAAATTGTTATGAATTCAGCAACGATGCTGCTTTTATTTTTAACATTTTGTATAATTCAGTAAACGCAAATTAAGAGCGGCAATGATAAAGACTTATGTCGTTCTGGATTGATATCATAATTATCTGTTTTGATTGATATATAAGTAAAATATGATGTAAATAATGTAAAACAGTGTAAATAACACGGTAAATTTATTCACTAGTGTTGTACAACTTACAATGCATTAACAAGAGTTTATTATGACACACAGAGAGACTGATCGATTAGAATTAGTTCAAATTAAAGCTAGGTTAATATTCTATACCGTGATATTTGGCGCTATCTCAAAAAGGAAAAAGGAAGAATTACATACTTTGAACCTATATATGTTTTCTGAGATAAATTTTCCTTTGAATGAAAGAGCAGAAGATTATAACAATGTCCATGATTTTAATGATATTAACCCTGTTGTTGTTGTTGTTGTTGTTGTTTTTCTTCTTCTTCAGTATTAGATGGAAAAAATACTTTACAGGAAATACTTAGAGCAATTTCTATGCTTAAAAGAAATAAATCGGCTGAGATAGATAATCTTTGAGAAAACGAATATTCAACAGAAACAAGCGATACTTTATCTTGACAAATTCTAGAAATCAAGAGATTGTATAGTGCAATTTTATATATAAAAAAAAGAAAAAATATTGAAAATGTACAACATTACTGAGGAATAACTTTTTTGAGTCATTTGTTTACTAGCGTTTTAAATTATAGAATAACTAAATGGTCAAAGAATACAAAACATTGAAAATTCCCTTAAGGCCAGATTACTGTATTGTAACATGGTCAGCGATTGGCAAAAAATAATGCCGGATAAAAACATAAGATTCACTGGAACATCAGGTGGTTGGATGAAAATGTGATACTTATAAATATAAAAGCTATTTAGGAAAATTGAGCTACAATGTTTTCGTAAGAAAATGAACTGTTTCATCAGCCTCTACGACAGTTTATCACTTGGATATTGCATTTAAATAAGGATAATATGCCAGTCTTGTGATCAGCAGACAATTTCAGCGATAAAAAGTGGATAATCCTCTATGGGGGCATTTTGTTATAAATTTTATTGGTCAGCCCTTTACGACAAGATTACTTTTATGGGTCAGACTTATCATTTTCCTAGAACAATCACATCTTTAGCATAAATGCTCAATTTTAAATTTATGTTTCGGTGCCAGTTCTTATAATAATTAATACGAGAGTCTGACCTAAGTTGTTTATTTGAATGCCCCGTTTTATTAGGAGGTTTATTCCCTGCGGGCCGGAGCCCGCAGGGTATTGGTACGCGTTTAATTTTTGAGGCATGGAGGAGCACGTGACCTGTTTTCGGTACATGGAGGAGCATGTGATCTGTAAACCGTACATGATTGGTGAATTGACCTACTCGAAAACCTAGCTAAATCCGTTTCCCGGTACGTTACGGATTTACCTGCAGGGGATCATTGTATACACACCGGTCTCTCGACACAATGCTAGGGAATTAGTCCGAATTACACCTAATAAAGAACATAATACTATTACGTGATATGTCTAATTTTATATTATTATTTTACCGTTTAAGTTGGAAAAACTTGCATGATGTGTTTGAAAATTATCAATGTTTCTCTAATATCTATCTGAAATTTTACAAACAATAAATTGTTTATAGTGAAAATCCACAGAATTAAAACATTCGTTTGTGGTATCTGCCATAATAGATAGAGATATTTTCTGCGTAAACTTGTGTGTTTACTTTATTTTTTTTTTTTCTGCACTGAATTATTCATACAATGGTATTTAATCATTTTCTTGAACAGAAATATTGTTTTATTTTCGACAAAGACCAAAGAATTTCTTCTATTGATCGATTATTGTCAACTATATTTCTGATACAAACGTTAATTTTTTTCTTTCTTTTTTTTCCCCAAACAATGTTGAAAATAGTTAAATGAAATATCTTTAAATCATTATAAAAGCTCCCCGCAGAAAACCATTTTACTTGTACTTTACTTACTAGCTGCCATATATCATGGTATATGGGTAATCTTGTCTCGCACCGCTCTATAAATTGTCTAGAAATATACAGTGATTAAATTACTAAGATATTACATTATCCGAAAACAGCAAATGAAAAATGTTATTTCGGTACACAGTAATTATCTACTTGAGACAAAACAGTTTTGAGGGTAATATATAGTCTAATGGAAACAGTGTGTACAAAATCATATTTTAGTAAATTATTTATTACATCTATAAAACAAAAAATAACAATGCAGATAATGCAGATGTCTTCAGGTAAATTGTAAAACTTTATTGTAAACATGACTGTCAACTGTAACCAGATACTACTATCGATATAAAAAGTTAACTGTGCAGTGTTTAGTGTATTCATGATAGCTCCACCAAATTTTACACATGTGATCTTTATAGTTAGTGTGGATAATTTACTATTTTCATTCGAGAGGTAAACGTATTGTGTGTGCAAATTTGAAACAAAATAATAATAATAATGATAATAATGATAGAAATGAAACAGGTTAAGATTAGGTCTGACAGCGATGTGCAGGCAATAAATCTAAAGTTGTAAGAGTTATTGATGCCGTTAATTCCTATTTTATATTCAGCTAAAATCTTATGATTAGTTTCTGTCAAATCAATCAAAACTTCATGCCATTTTACAAGAGACCAGTCAAAGTACATCATTCTTTTCCATTCGATAAATACTATTTTTGATGTCTGATTCGTCTTTGATATTTTTAACTAATGCACAGTTTTGAAATGGCCATTTCTATAAGCAGACGACAGGAATAGATAAAACAAATAAGAAAATTGTTTATTATATATAAGTACATGAAGCCAAATTAATAGTTAATATGAAATAAGAACATATAAAAAAAAGAAAAATAATGATCATTTTAAAATGACTCTCACAAAACTGGAATAAGTGGATAATTGCATGTAACATAGATATGCTTAAAGTGTTTGACATTTTATGTTACTCATTTAGCGCAAATAAGGAGTACATGTATATAGAATGAAGACTCGTGTCGTTTTGGATCAATATCAAAATACAATGTAATAAAAACGACAAATATCAAAATTGAAAACACACAATTTGATCGGCCAGCGTTTCAAAATATTTCCGAAAGAATTTGATCAATTTCAATAAAATATATAGCATATTTGAACACCATTTTGCAGAAAATGATCATGTAAACATTGCAAAATAATTCCTCCAAATACACGACTAGCATAGGATAAAGGTGCCACACATGTTTAAGCAGTTGATTTATTAATGTTTTGATCTTGAGGTTTATTCAAATTTTGCTCGCGCATTATACAAAGTATAACAATTGGATTTTTATTTTCCTAACAGGCATTCAAGATGTCATGTTATTGAAACTTGCTTTTTCTCCAGCTGTGGACATTCCCCGTTCCTTCATTTCCAAACTAGACTTGACATGAGATGACACTTCTCTTATTTTTTCAGTCAAACATTTACCGATTAACGTTAACGAATATTTGTAATAACAGAAAAATTCTTTTCTTCTCCGTCTGCGTTTCTTTTCAGAAGATGTTTACGTTGTTAAGCTGTGATTCGTTCGATCCTTAAGAACGTTTTGTTCTACATATTCATAATTCTGAACTTATTCAATTGGACAAAAGTCCTGGCTTCAGGCCGCTCGAGTTACTTTGATCAATCATTGGTATGTGTACATTTATCAGCTTCCGTGTCCTCTGGTTTTGTCGAGTTTGTGGTATACAGTTCAAAAAAAGCTATTTGTCAGTCTTTTATTGAATGTTTGTTATTGTTTGTTTCGTGTACGACTATATCTGCGTTCAACGACCATTTACTGACGTGTAGATGCTCGTTTATGTCGGTGATTACTTTTTTTGATAGCTATAGAACTTGCTAGTTGATATGTAGATATAAAACTTTTTTGTTATCAGGATGTGCCCTATGAGCGGTACAAGTTATGAAATAAACTCTGTTTTGTTCTATGTAGACATATTGATCGGAATAAATAACAGAATCGTCGATACAAAGCTCTTTAAATGTTTTAAAGAGAAACGTAAAAGGTATGACGACAATAATATTGACAATGTGGCGAAGTGTACATAATAAAATATAAAACATTCTTAAATAATTGACATAATACATTTAATGCAATTTTGAAAACAAAAATAATTGTTCAAAGGGAATGTCGTCTGTTTGAAAACGTCAATAAGTGCGATCGTAAATTGTGAGTTATCTTAGCAAATGCACTTGATTTTAAGTAAGAGCTTCAGTCCCAAGTGAATAATA